AGTGTCGCTTCTTGGTCAGCAAAGCCTCTTCTCCAGCTTGTGCACTGTCTCCATGGTAACAGACAACCGCTATGGACAAACAATAGAGGTAATCTCCATTACACTGAAGTTACTGCTTCAGGTTTTACCTCTTATAATCAACACAGCATCAGAATATGGACTTTACAGCAAAACCACCACTTTGCAGTCTGGATGGAAGGATGTCAGCTAGCAGGCAGCTAGCCCATCCAGATGACTGATGCCACTGTACATCACAGAGAGGAGAGTTCAGTTAGGAAACAAGGAGATCAATACAAAATAAGGGAGCCTCTATGTGCAAGGGTGACGGGGTTTGTGTGTGATTACGCACACGTGAAATATGACGAAATCCATCCAGAACTGCCAATAGTGTGAGTAAAAAAGAAGGCAACACCCCCTCAAGAAAACGTACATATATTGGAAAGAGTTTTTTTTTTTTTTTTTTCGGGGGTTTGTGTCAGACAAGATCAGAAACGCAGCAGGTGGAAGAGAACAAAGCAACATGGCATACGCTGGAAATCAGGTAATCATTTCAGAGGAGGAAAACAGGACTCATTTTTATAAATTACATAGCATAATTATTCTGTCAGTGCCAATATAAACAATTTTAACATTGAAAATACAATCATGTTTGGGGTCAGTGACCACAAGGTTAAACCAGAACTTGCAACTTTTAGACCTATGAAGCAGTGTCAAGAAATAGTACTTCTTAACTACTATTAAATAGTTACAACCTTACAAAAACAGAAGAAACGCAAATAAATTTGTCAATGTGCAAAAATAAGGTGCAAACTTTTGGGAATATCTTCACAAACAAGCCTACAACTTAGGCACAAATTAAAGTTTTAAGATGAAAATAATCAGGTTGGACATTGAATAGCATGAGAATGAGACCGCTGGCGTTGTACATTTGCAGATTTGGATGAAAATGTCAAGTCTTCTTCCCTTCATGCAGAATGTGGAGTTTGTGCGGACAGGCTACGGCAAGAATGCGGTGAAGGTGATGGTCATCAAGAGACACGGGAGCCACCACTCCCTTATTGAGCTGAAGGCTAACGTGGAGATAACGCTCAAGTCACGCAAGGACTATCTGACCGGAGACAACTCGGACATCATTCCTACCGACACCATCAAGAACACTGTCCACGCCATGGCCAAAATCAAAGGGGTGAGTTACAGCTTCACTGCGCTTCTCAGTACATTCCAAGATATAAACGCGCCGATTTTCTAAACAGCTTCTGAATAATGTTTATGCTGTGTTAAAATTGACATTTTCTTGATTTTGGCTTGGTTTCTGTCGAGAGGCTGCTGTTTAAAGTCAACCTTCATGCAGATTTTACTGCTTGTCGAATTTTCTTGGCATTAGCAGAATATGTGTTATTTTTAAGACAGAGACAGGAATGTTAGAGAATTCATGTTTGAAATGTTGAAGGGTGTGTCACACTGAATACCTTAGTAAAGGGTATTCTGCAAATGAGCTCGTAGCCAATGGGATGCTTAACACAGCATGTCTCCCCTGCAAAGGGGAGATTATTCTTTGTAATGGCTTTTTGGTGGTTATTTGTTTTTCACCTCTACTTTGTATGCATTTTATGTCTCCTGTTGGAGATAAAACTAACTATTCAGACTCTCCCTCCCCCCCCCCTTTTGTTAAGGTAAATACTATTGAGCAATTTTCCATGGATCTCTGCCATCATTTCCTGACCTCTTTCAACCATGTGCTGAGGGCCAAGGTTTACATGGAGGAGGTGCCCTGGAGAAGACTGGAGAAGGTAAAATCCATAATCCAGTCCCTCGACCCGGACAAAATATAAGCTTTAGTTTGTTTTCTGGCTGCTATTTTACTAGCATTACATTTTAAAAAGTACAATAACTCTCAAAAATCTAGTTACCCCTGTTAAAATCCAGGTTTTTCATTATGCAAAATGCTATGCATACTGTGACAAATATTTTATGCAATTGTGTAAAAAAGATAAATTAAAAAATATGTGCGCACCTTTTCACTAATACTTTGTTGGGGGCAACTTCTGATTAATTTTCAGCATCCGGTCAGCCTGAGTTCTCCCTCATCAATTGGGTCTGATTAACTTGCAATGATGTTCAGCTGGATTTGTATCCCACAGCTAAATCAAACATCTGTAGAGATGTGTGACACTGGTAGTCTTATATCAACAAAGCATGAAAGCTGCTTCTAATAAAGTATTAGTTCAAGTGTGTGCAAGTTTAAGTACCTTTTTCATTTTGCTCTTTTGAAAAGATCTGTTTGTGGTTTGGTTGAGTAATCCAGAAAAAAAAAAAATGTCACCCAATATTTAAAAAAAAAACAAAAACAACAACCTTGTTTCCACTGTACCAATCTGTGAAGTATTCAAATAATTAAGATTAAAGCACCAATTTTTAGACACAATCACTCTTTTTTTTCTTTCTCCAGAATGGTGTCGAACATGTTCATGCTTTTATCTACAGCCCAGAGGCTTGTCGCTTCTGTGATGTTGAGCAGAACCTCAACGGTAACCATTGAAAATATGTTTGCATGTGTGTGTGTTTTTATTAAAATGTGCTTAGTGTTTTGGTGGCAAAGGTGGGAGACATCTCTTTTTATATCTTGAGTCAACTTCGTTTGTTAGCATGGATAATGACACGAAATAGATACAATGATATTATCAGGTCTAGTCTATTATTATTTTACCTCTTGAAAAATGTAGCAGTTGAAACTGTTGACAAGGATATCTGTGCATCTACAGCTATTATCCATTCTTACACATGCTTGGGACAGACTCCATTTCCATCCAAACATCTGAAACGCTTTGTGCTTTTGCACCAACTCTGTTCTGCACACAGGTACTCCAGTGGTTCACAGCGGCGTGAAGGACATGAAGGTGCTAAAAACCACTCAGTCTGGCTTTGAGGGCTTTTTCCGAGATCGTTTCACGACACTGCAAGACACCAAGGACAGGGTTTTCTGCACCACCGTTTACTCTAGGTGGCGCTACAACAAGGTCCAGAACGTTGACTTTGATGCCGCATGGTAATTATCTTAACTTTTGTGTGGGATCAACTTGGAAGTGCAGGGAAAAACACATAGCAAAGATGATTTTTCAGCTCAAAAAGAAAAATCCTAAAAGGAAACTTCTGTCATTTGTAGGAAGTGTATGAGAGACACAATTATTGAGAAATTTGCTGGCCCGTACGGTCGAGGAGAGTTTTCACCATCTGTGCAAAAGACCCTTTATGAAACACAAGTTCTGGCCCTGGACAGGATTCCTGAGGTGAGCCCTTCACTTCAACAAATCAGTTTATTCAAAGACACTCATGGCTGCGCAATCTGTTGTCACTGTCTTGCATAATTTAAGATACACATGATTAGTGTATGAAGCGGGTTTTGTTTTCAAAATATTTACATGTGTGCGACATTACCAGAAACAGTGTGTAGCATAACACAAGAAATGCTCTTCTTAGGTGGAGGAAATCGAGATTGTCATGCCCAACCAGCATTACTTCACCATAGACATGACAAAAATGGGTCTTAGCAACAAAGATGAGGTAAATACTATCATTGTTTACAGTATCAAACCTTATTTGATTGATAACATGTCTTTTTGTTTTCGATCAGGTGTTTCTTCCTCTGGATAATCCCTCTGGAAACATCACAGGGACAGTGTGTCGTAAGCAGAGAGCCAGACTTTAAAAGGGAAAGCCCAACCTGAAGACTCTACTGCTGGTTTCAGTATTAACCTGTTGATCCAACTAATAGAAAATCTGATGATGTATCCAACAATATATCCTTGAGATGTAAATAAAGTTGCTTCTGACTGAATGTGTAACACCCGACCAGCCAAAAACGTATGAAAAATAAAAAATAATTACAGCCACTCTCACTGGGAATTTCTTTTGATTTGCAACGTTTTGATTCAAGAGCTAAAGTTCTCTGAAGAAGTAATACATGAATAGGTGAAAAAACCTAATTGTTTTGCGCTTACCAGGGAGGCTGCTGACATGCTTTTACAATTTCCTTTAGTGTTTTAAGTGCACATTTCTCAGATTAATAATGTTAAGAAGTTTATTTTTTAAACACATTTTCTGGTTAAAAACAAAAATAATGTTTTATGACGTCCCTAAGGTTCTTTCACAACATCTCTCAGTTAGTAGCTCAGTTTTAGAAGTTTCATCAGTCTGCTAAATGTTAGTAAAACACAGCAACAAAAAAAAAAACAAAAAAACAAACATTAGCTGTAATTCTTAGTATGTTTCAGGGCATGCAAACAAAGTTTTGATCTTTAAATGTTTCTATAATTATTTAAATTTAACCTTATGTGTACAAAAAGACAAAACAGATTCCACATCATCTTATGTCTTAAACAAAAATGAAGTCAAATTGAAAGATATATTCCAACAGTTAGAAGAGTCAATGTAATTTTCTTGGAGTTTATTAATTTCTTATACCTGTGTAGAAACATTTTGGCACATTATTCGTTATATTTCATGGTTTCTTGAGGTTTGCTAGTATTTTTTTATTTACTCTCCTAATCCATCTGCTCTGCCCCCTCCCACGCCCCTGTAGAGGGTTAGGGTGAGACTTAACCAACAGATATTTATATGCATTATTGTTTTATTTATTTATTACTGAGGGTAAACTGCAATTTTGTTATGTTCTAGGAACATAACAAAAGACATAAATTGTTTTATATCTTTAATGTCTCCTTACATCATCTGAAATGGTCTGAAATTTGAGTGGGTGTGTAAAAGAGATAAGTAATGTTTTGCCAGCTAACTATGTGATGTGCGAAATTAAACAAAAAAAAAAAGTCAAGAAAGTCAAACTGATGTTCTTTGGTGAGAAAAAAAGCACCATTTATCATCAATTTTAGACTCAAGATATTCAAACTCCAGTGTTATGTTGCACTTAAACATGGGTCATGAACACTTCAATACAGCCGTCCAAGTGACAAAGCTGAAAGCACCACAGGTAGGTACGTAATAAGAATATATACAGAAAGATTTTCATACCAAGAGCCTCAAGTCTAAATAAAGTTGACTTGAAGAAACAAAGAGGCTTTAGATAAAAGTCCTGGAAAACAAAGTGATTAATTGTTACATGCTCTGGACAAAACATGGACTCAGATGTGCAGTTTAAAAGATAAAAACTAAATTCAGGGAAACACAATGGGATCATAATAATTTTCTGCACGTATCAAAGTGTTCAAATATAACAGAACATACATCCTTTTCAACTATATATCATCTTATTTACAAATACTTAAAAAACCCATTGCGGTTTAATTTACTTTGCACACACATTCACCACACAAACACACAAATCTAGCCTTCAGAATACTCACTCTTAATCTCTTTTCTTAAATAAAACACAAAATTACAAGCAGCAGAAATAAGAATGGCTGAAGGGGTAAACAGCTGAGTGGACGCAGTGTGCAGACCGGGGTTTTGGGATCCGCGCTTATTAAAACAAAAACAACAACAACAACAACAACAAAAAAAACAGCATTCAAATCTTGTCAAGGTGCCTCTGTTGGCAGAAGAGTCTTTGTGAAGCCGCAGCTAACCTGGAGTCTCCTGACATGATGATTGTCGCTGAGGTGGGTGGCGGGGCAGCTGGCCGTGCTACGACGCGTTGCTCTTCAGGTGCTGCGTTTGCAGCGGCTTCACGTGGTACTCGTAGATTTTCAACGCGGGGCCGAGTTTTATCGACAGTCCTGTTAGGACGTCGTTACGCGTCATCAGGAGCAAAGACTTGCCGTCAATTTCCTGTCAGTCCAAAAGAGAAATTCTATATTTGGAGGCTTTGCAAGTTGACGTGGAGTAAGACAGAAGAAAAATCTAACCTGATCTTGGAAAGCTGTAGCCTGCTCCTCAAACCCTGTTGCCTTGAAATAATTGACAACGTCAGCAACTCCCCAGTTGGAAGGGTCTGGCAGCTGACCGTTCTCCACCGGGCTGCAGGATAAAAGTTACTCTACTCAGACTAAACTGTGACAACTGTAGGAAAACATATTTGAGTTTCCAGTAAGAAATGAATCGAGTAAATAGATTCATCAGCTAATTTTGATGAGTACCTTTTGGTGTCAACTGAACCATTTGCCTTGTCCTCCATACTGGCTGTTGAATAAAATGACAAAGGCAAGCATATGCAATTATTTTAACAATCTCATTATCAATTCAGTTCAAATAAAATTATAATTTGAGGTCAGAAAATAAAATAAAAAATAAATAAATAAAAATCAATCAAGAATGTTTTCTGAAATGGGCTGTTTTTTCATCTTAGGCCTCTGATAAAAAAACAACTAAATTTTACAAATCAGACAAAAAAAAAATCCTAAAGATTAAAAAAAATAATTCAGTTGTCAGAACATTTCTAACTACATATTTTTTCTATCCTTCTTCAGAAACTTTTCATTGCAACCATGTTTGATCAATAGAAATATTCAACATTCTGACAATATATCAGATATATTGCAACACTTATTAGTATAAAGCAGCAGCAGTTAATAATTTAAGATGCTAATAAAATGCCGTAATGTATTTGCCAAATTAGTTCTGTTTTAAACTAAATAAATTTAAATTTCCTTACAATTACTGCCCCTTGTGGTATCCTTCACTTGGCTGAAAAGAGCAGCCAACTACTGGCATGTCAGATATGAAAAAAAAGAAAGAAAAAAATTCAACATGGAATACTGAGGAGCAACTACATCTAACTATTGGCTGCAGTTTTAACCTCACAGATGATTCAGTTTAAAAATATTATACTCCTCAAAGCAAAAAAAATAAAAAAATAAACAGGTAAAAGAAAAGCTTGATAGGCGATTCTCTACAATACAATAAATATAAAACGCACATACCTATAATATTTAAAAACAGTTTGCTTATTTATGTTTTATGTGATGCACATGCAGAAAAATGTTTGGAAAGGAAGATTTTATTTTGATTAAATAACATTTTACAACCAAAAATGAAATGTTGCTCCATAGGTGAAAAAATAAAAATCTAAAGTTTAACTGATTTTACAGTCAAGTCTAGATAGGAGCTTTAATGTTTTTCGCATCTCTTTTATTACATTCTGACAGACTTTGAGCACGACATTTTAGACCAGTTACCTAATTTCCACATTATGCTTCCGTATAACACCTTATAGTTTAGCAAATAAATTCAAAGTTTAAGCACACACAAACTGAATGAAACGAGTCTTACATTCTGTTACGTTGCAGTAATTTTTCATTAGATGTCTTCTGCGAGAGAACTCAGTGTGTTGGCAGTTCAAACACCATCATCGTTTGTCTTTCTGACATTCACTGGATGTCCCTGCTGAAAAAGCACACCACCACAGCAGAAAGGGTAAAGCCGTAAGTAAAGCAGCTTAATTAACTAAAACTAGCGCCGTTTATCATAAACACAAGTCGGAGTAAAAACTGTGATGTGTAAAAATTGACGACGTAAAACTCACGTTGTTAGCGGAATTAAAACCAGAAAAAATATCGACATAAAAAAAACTGGCCACACCACAATTATAATTCGGTGGAAAAAAAAAATTACAAATTCAAGAAAATAAAATATGTGGTTATTCTAGACGACGAGTAGATATTTAATCGCACCCTCTCCGTGTTTTGTAATAACGCTAACGTTAAGCTAAGAGGGATAGTTAGCCTCGTTTGCTAATACCAAATTTAACAGTTACCTTATTTTAGGAGATTCGGGCTTGACAACAGCTGCTCGTCCAAGTCAAAAATTGTTATTCAACAAACAAAAAGTTTTATAAGCTGTAGTATTTTTACCAGTTAATAAACTGCGGTGTTTATTTGATAAAATCAAATTATATTCAAGTAAACCAACAAGCTTCTTCGCTTTCGTTTCCTTCGCCCACAACGTCACGGAATCATGGGAAATGTAGTGCAATGGCAGTTTAACGGGTTTAACAACCAGCCTTCCTCACAGAAACACACAAATTGTTGATTTCAATAAAAAGAATTTATTATAATGACATATCCTCTTTGTTACATAAAATCTGCTACAGCAAAGTGTACTTCGCTTGCAAACACAAGTAAATATGATTGGGAAAAATAATGTGTCAGCTTTCTAAATGATGTGCAAAAATATCCACAAACTAAATTACAGACACATTGCAGATTATTGATTCCCATACTGGCACGTGTGACTAGCTACAAGAACTCATAGAACTGATTTCCTTCAGTCAGGAGGAGTGTGAAGTGGCTCAGGGAAAGGTGCAGTCGTTTCACGTCAAATTTCAACAAACATCACACACATGAGGGAGGGTAGAACAGATGATACAGAAGAAGAGCTGGCAATTGCCTACACATTTGTTTTTGAGAGGATTTACACACAGGCAGTTGGACAGAGACATGCTTGTGGGCCAGGTGAGATTCATCAAATTCAAAAACATTGGGAATTGTTTTTAGGCATACCATCTGTTCACCCTTCAAACGGGACAAAAATACATAATTTTGAATAAATACAAAAGAAAAAAAAAAGATACATTTCAGTAGGCATTAGAGGTGTCAATATGCATCAAATATAGATGTAGCAAATTAAAAAAAACATAAATAAACAATTTTGGTGTTTGCAATGCTTAACATTTTAGGTCTCCATACACATACTGAGAACCATGGAAAATTAAATGTTATTTTGTTAGACTTCTATGTATAAATAAAATGCATAAGTAGCAGTTGTGCCTTCATAAATTAAATCGCATAAAATGCACATGTGCTCAGACAAAATGATTAAAACAAATAATTACTTAAATCCTGTTTTTGAATTTGGTTGTTTAAGAATGCTTAAATTGAACAAAATAGCTTTTTATTCCCTCATATGTAAAGACTCAAGTATCAGTTTTGGAAAGACTTTCAACAGC